GGGATCCCCGGCTCCTCCGCTCGCAGGAACCCCAGGCTTGGGGGTGCCAGCCACCCCCATACTGCTGTCCCCCCTCCCTGCCACCAGCCATGGGGCCACTATGGCTCACAGCACCCCAGCGCCCTACAGGGGAGGGCAGCAGGCTCCTGTCCCCTTTGTACCTGCACAGAGAAGCAGACCAGGGCCAGCACGTGATGCAAGGACACAGGGACATGGCCTGGCAAGCTGCGGGCCAGGGACGAGCTCCCACGTCCCCTCTCTAGCAGCATCTCTCGCCCCTGGTGTGCCTGGCACAGGGGGTGATGAAGGGCAGGCAGGCTGCAGGCAGAGCCCTGGCACAGCCGTCCCAGGGGGGCCACAGGGCTGGTGGCCCTAGAGAAGGGCAGCTGAGGGCAGGGACACAGCTCTGTGCTGCTGTGGCAGCATCCCTGAGCAGGGCAGGGCTCAGCACGCTCCTGCAAACCCTGTGGGGCTGCACCGCAGGCAGCCGAGGGTCCAGGGTGACACAGCCACACCGCCCGAGGCTGGACATGCCTCAACCGACTGCAACAGCAGAGACGTAGTCAAGACCGTCCCTCTGCAGGACCAGTTCTCTGCAAACCCCAGGAGCAGGCAGGGCAGCACTGAGCCAGCACAGGCACAGGGCAGCAGTAGGGGACAAATGACCCCAGCTCTGGGCTCGCAGAGAGGCACGGATGAGCTGGATGTGCTGCCCTGGACAGGGTGCATCCCTGGGCTGAGCTGAAGCTGCTTGAGTGCTCCTGAAGGGGATGGAGGAGGCTCCTCCTGGAGGAGAGCTGCAGTGAGGCCAGAAGTGCCGGCAGCACTGTCAGGAGGTAAGCAGGCAGCTCAACCTCAATAACTGGAACAGGCAGGGGGGGAAGGACAGACCCAACAGTCAAAACCACAAATAAATGATTAAAGGACAGATTGTGGGCTGTTCCCCAGCACCGACCCTGCGGGGACACCGGGCAGCCCTCAGCTAGGGGGCTAATCTTCCTGAGAAGGCAGACCTGTGTCCCACAGATGTGCAGGAGCTTGGGCGAGATGGGGACCGGCTCCTCAGGCTGAACTGACCCAGAGAAACTGGGCTCTGGTAGCCCTTCCCACAGCCAGGCTCGCAGGGCAGAGAGCTGTGTCTGTGCCTTGGCCAAGGGAAGACAGAGCCCAGACTCCTCCTGGGGACTATCTGGGGTCCCCCAGAGCAGAGGGACACCCCTGATAGACCCAGGAACTGGTCCCAGGCACCGGGGGAGGCAGGCAGACACATGCAGTGCCCCAAGCACACGCTGATGCCAGCACTGTGCTCCCAGCCCCGCTCACCCAGCAGGTGGGTACAGGATACAGCAAGGCATCATCCCCCCCTCAGAAGACCCCCCGCCCAAGCAAGAGCCCCACCCCAGGTTGCCAGAGCCCTGGCCCAGCCCTGAACACACAGACCACGCTCAGCTGCAGCCATTCATTGCGGGATGGGACAGGGGGACCCCATGGGCAGTGCCCTGCTCCCCCCACAGTCACACCACAAACTTGGTCTTGGTGAGGGAGCCGCTCTTGGTGGCTGTATCCGCGTGGGCTTGGTACCCGATGGCCACCTTCTGCGACAGACCCAGGTGCTCCTTGTAGACACGCCTGGAGGAGGGAAGGGCCTGGATGAACGGGACAGCATCGCTTCTCCCACCAGCTGTCTGCCCAGGGACCCCATTCCCCCCAAACCTGGCCCCACACAGCCACCCCCCCACACTAGCTGCATTACCCGATATGGGTGACCCCTTCCCGGTTCTCCGCTTCTCGGGTCCAGATGGCAATCTTGTCCCCCTTGGCGCGGATGTTGATGACAGCCCCGCACACCTCATCACTGTACTCATCAAACATCTCCCCGATGAGGCACAGCAACTGCCGGGAGGAGAAGGGGAGCTCGGGACAGTCCCTGCTGGGGCTCTGTGGTGCAGCAGGGGGAAGCACCGCTGCCAGGACCCTGCAGCGGGGTCACCCCGAGTGGGGTCACGCTCACCGTCTCCAGCCAGAAACGGTCCAGCTCGGTGTGCCGCTGCTGCTTGGCCAGAGTGATGAGCCAGCGCCCGCCACGCTTGTTCTGGCTGTCCTCCCACATGGGCTCGATGCCATCCTGGGGGCAGGCAAGGGAATGGCCAGGGGCACCAAGAACCCGGGCAGAGCCAGCACAGGGAGCTGCAAGCACACAGCCAGGCTTCCCCTCCCACCCCACGGCCAGGGTGGCTTACCAGCCCCACTGGCACCCAGTGTCCCCCCATAATGCTGCGTGCTGCAGGGGGCTCTGAGGAGGGAATGTAGTGGGGCAGGTGTCACACCTTGAAAAGGGAGTAGTCGCAGCCAGATGTGAGCTTGCTGGCGAGCTGGATGTGGCTGTACAGCCTGTGCCAGGCAGAGAAAAGACAGAAGTAGGTGAGAAGAGGTGCCTCAGGGACCCCCAGTACCCTCCTCTGGCACAGACCCTCCCCATCGGGACCTCTCCGGAGGGGGCACGTTGCCCACTCATGGGACACTCACGCCCAGAAGTCCTCCACAGTGCTGAACTTGGTGACTAGGCGCAGGTTTGCCTGGCACATCTTGCTCT